ATAATAAAATTATATTATATTACATATATATATATATAATATTAATATATAATAATGATATAATATAATATTATGTATATAGTATATATTTTAGTATATAATTATATAATAGTACCAAAATAATGGCAACTTATGTTAGATAATTTTTTATTTATTTATTTGCATATCTTCTTTATTGTATTTTTTTTTTTATATTTTACATCTTCGACCATAGATCATTTACAGGAAGGAAAACGATCGATTTTAAGAGGATGTAACGATGCAAAGAGGAAGTTGAAGCTAGAAGAGCGGTTGTACGCAACATGGAACTACATGAGCGTGTACACACATTGACGAAGTTTCTCTTGCGGTTCTTTGCACGAACGCGAGTGCAGCATACCGTTTGTATCAACGATAATGTATGCACGACCATCGATAACCACACAGCTTTTAACCAGTCCACCACCTGCCTTTCCTTTCCCAAACTCTCTAACCCACCATTTAATATTTAATATGGTTGTCTTTATCTTATTTAGTATCGTCATTATATGTTTTCTTCTTGAAATTTACATTTCTATTTTATTTCGTTGATAATAATAATTAATGATTTGTTTTATAACACAAGTATTATATAAAAGATTTTTTCTATTATAAATATAATAGATTATATTTATAATAGAAAATTAATTCACATTATATTATAAATATAATCCAAATAGACAATATCTTGCGTTATATTACTTTTTTTTTGATAATGACATTGATAATGACAATAACATTCAAATTATTTATAATATGTATTAAATCATGGAATGAATTTGTCAACTAAATTGTTAAACCACTCTCGTAATAACTTGCTCATCAATATATATATTCTTTAATTTACAAAATAATATTATAGATAATTTGAATATGATAAATGAATAAAAAAAGAACAAATCTAAATATAATAATTGATAAATGTATATAATACCTGTTCGACCCAAAGATTCGTTGTCATGATCTGATTCTTCAAGTTCTGAAATAAGAGCAAAACGGAAGAGACGTTAACGATCGTATGTAATTTACTGATATACTTTACGTGAATTACTCGATGACAACATCATCATCATCGTCACATTATCATCATCATCATCATCATCAACCGACCACGTCGATGAGCTGCGATAGTTTGAGCTTGATCTTGACGGTGAGGGCATCCGTGACGTTTACCACCGGACGTACCAATTTGTTGTAATTCGATAGGAGGTCGTCGTAAAGTCGCTTTGCGTCTGGATTTCCTGAGCATCCTAAATATAACAAAAAAAAAACAAATAAAAAACAAATAACAATATACTAAACAATTCACGATAATCTTGTACAATTGGGCATGAACATTCGTTCAAATCGACTAGTTGAGATTGAAGCATATAAAATTGACATAAAAATCATCAAAATAAATTTATTATATATCTATAATCTCTTTTTTTATTTTTTATATAAAATATTAAATAAAATAATTATATAAAATAATTTATATTAAATAAATATTAAATAAAATTAATTATATAAAATAATTTTATATAAAAATAAAAAGATAACGGGATAAAATTACTTCGATCAATTATGTTAATCGTAAATTGAATTGTTTAATTCAAAAAAGAATCGAGAAAGGTATATGAAAAAGTATAGAAGTAAAACAATTTAGTTTTATTTTTGTCTTTTTTATTTATTTATTTTTTTTTTTTTTTCTATTAAATTGTCAATGATTCGTAAAAGAGAAGTGATTATTGTATTATAAAATTTTCTTCGAAGAATTTCATCGTTACTACTCTCAGTTGTAATTAAATTTTTAAGCCTTTCAGAATATCAAGACAAGGATCGCTCAAAGGGACATTAACGGTAGTTTCGAGCGAGTAACAATGTTGAAAATTACACCTTACATTTAATTTCGCTGGAAGAACATGTTGAACCTAAAGAGTAAAAGTTAAAAAAAAATAAAACGAAAGGAGAACTAGATGTAGGTAAAAGATCAAAAGAATGTATACGTTTGTCCTTGTGCTCTTGTAATTCGAAATAACACCGTATTAAAGAGATCCAGAGAGAGAGAAAGAGAGAGAGGGAGAGAGAGAGAGAGAGAGAGAGAGAGAGAATACCGTATGCCTTTAACCACAAGTTTTACATTTTTATAACGCATATCTTTATTTCTATCATTTTTTTTTCTTTTTCACCCCTTCACTTTTCCCGAGTTTTTACTTTCATCCTCATTTACCTATTTTTCGTTTTCCACGATTAAACATACGCTTACGATTTTCTTTCTTAGACACATTTAAATATAAATATAGTATTCTTGATATATTCAGTTCCATTAAGAAATATTTCATTGCTATAATATCCTTCAACATTTTTATTAATATTATTTCCACTATCTTTCGTTGAATGAAACTTTAATCGATCTTTGGAATAATGTTTCTTTTTATTTTTACAAAATATTTATTATTGTAAATATTATTTTATATTATTTGATAATTAATATTATATATTTTGATTATTTTAATATTTATATTTTAATTTATATTTATATATTTCATTATTTTATATATTTGATAATTAATATATATTATTAATAATAATATTATTGTAATGTAATGTAATAAAAATCTCGCTGTATGTGAATGCAACTTTGTTCGAAATCTAAAAGAAATAATAGAAAAAGAAAAAGATATAATATCTCGTTTTCTGTGATAACTCTGTCTCTCTTCCTCTTTCACTTTCTTTTAAAATCTTCACTGGGTGCTCTTATCAATCGTTTTTTCTTGCATTTTATCTATTTTCTAACGTTCTTTCATCTAAAAAAAAGTAAGAGAAAGAAAGAGAGAAAAAGAAAAGAAGAAATACATTTCTTCTCTGTCGTTGATGTCGTTTAGGAAGTTTGAAGATTCCAGAGTAACGAGTGAATCGCTTAAATCTCTCGTCTCCATTAGACTCCAAGTAAAGTAAAATGGTATTTTATATTCTAGCATTAGGGTTTTCAAATGATACTTTGAATTATCATTCTATTTGCGTTTGCCACACGAAAGTGAAGGGTCCACCAACTGAGATATTTTATAATGGATTTATTTCACTTTTTTTTATTTTCTTCATTTTATTCCTGACCCTTTTAAGATACCTCCTACTTTAACGTATAATAATAATAAAAGAAAAAAAACGTTAAAATTATTCTTATAGATAATGGCACTTAGAATAATCATTATAATATATATATGTCATTCGGAGAATTAAATAATATTTCAATGAACGTTTAAAAATAATTTTTATTTGGATAATGTGTTAAAAAAAATTTTACAATGTAATTTATATTCAAAGAATATCTTTGATTGTAATGTTTAAATTATTTCATTTTTCAAATTAATTAATATTATATATTTTATATTATATAATATAGTATATAATATATATTTTATATTAATACAAAATTAATATTATATTTATTTTATATTAATATATATATTTATAATATATATTAAATAAAATATTTAATATTAAAATATTCTTATATTATAATTATTATATTTTTATTTATTTTTATTTTATATTTTATTTATATTTATTTATTTATTATATTTAATATAATAATAAATTATTATATATTATTATTATTATTATTATTATATAACTATAATTTTTTTTATCATAACACTTCTTCCATCTTTCTCTTCCTTTCTCGTAATATTTTTTTGTCCATTTCCTTTTCTTTCTCTCTCTCTCTCTCTCTCTCTCTCTTTTTTCTCTCAATTTTTCTTCCTTTTTCTATACTCCCATCCCCCCTCTATATTTCTCTCTCTTTCTTTCTTTCTCTCGTTCTCTTATTTTCTTACTTTCTCATCCTATTTTCTCTCATAGTTATCTTTCAACCATTTTTACACTTCTTTCCAACTTGTTTTTGTGAAAACTTTTTTTTTTACTTCCCTCCCTTCCCTCAGCCTCTCACCCCCTTTTCTTTTTTTCTTTCTCTTTCTGATAACTCGTGACAGGTCTTTTTTTTTCTGTGTTTTCCGCACGAGGTTTCAACTGCTTGTTAAACCGTATCCGCGATCCGAAAAGGTTTAGTTCTTTTTTTTTGGCTAGGTTTCAAAAATTAAAAACCTTGCCAACGTGGTTGGTCGTATCGAACAACTACCACCACCACTACCATCACTACCACGAAAGGGTCGAAGGGTTACGGAGAAAACTCGTAAAGTATCGTCGATGAATAATGTGTGGCTTTGGAAACTGTTTAATAACGATTCCCTCGTGTTTCTGTATTTTACCTTGAAATTTTCGTTCAAACGAAATTCTAGTATCTCGATAAATCGTATTTTTAGAATTATCGAACTGTCTTATGGGATTTGTTTAACAAAAAATTGATCATTTCTCGATCTTTATACAAACTTAAGTTTTTGTCTTTTTTATTTCGATCAAAATAATCGATAATATACATTTTTATTATTATGGTTTTCGATTATACTATGGGGAAATAAGATAAATAGTATTTTTTTAATTTTATTCAAATAATTTTAAAATTATGTGTGCACCTTATTGGATTTAAAATACAAAAAAAAAAAGAAACAAAATAGATCGATGATTAATAAATAATTTATTCTTGAATAGAATTATGTTCTATATAAATTTGGTAGAAAATAAAATATGGGGTGACGAGAAAAATATGTTAATATTTAATGATGCAAAAAATAAAAATAAAATATCTTCGTCTATATTTTTTAATAATCGAAAATAAATAAAATAAATATTTATTAGCTCGAATTATACGAAATTCATATTAAAACAATTTTTATATGTTACTTAAATATGTATATATAATTATATTTATATTAATTTAATTACTTACAATTATATTAATATAATAATAATAATAATAGTAATAATAATAATAATAATAATAATAATAATAATAATAATAATAATATATACTACTTATATATTATATTATTTATATAATATTATATATATATATATATATATATAATATTAAAATAATTACTAGTAAGTAATAAATATATTATATATATATAAATTACTTATACAAAAATTATTAGATTTATTACTAAGAAACATAGGTAACAGAGGAAAGATAAATATTTTTACATATTTAAAATAAATAAATTCGATAAACTAAACGTATCGTGAGAGAAAATATCAAAAGTATACCCAATTTAGGAAACACTTAGAGATCGATGTTACGTGGCAAATCCCACGACACATCTTCTTGCAGAAAAAGAACGAATTTTAGTTTACCACATCTAGAAATATATTTACGAGAGAAAACTGCTATACATATAAATATATATATATATATCGATATCGTTCGATGAAATACTTGAAAAAAAGAAAAACAATAAATAAATAAAAAAAGAAAAAAAAAGAAACATAGTATAAAGTGAAAAATGTTAATGTAATATTTTTCTTTATTCCCAAAACGATCTTAAATCATTTTTATTAAATTTGAAATAATGCATTTGCCAGAGAGAATGATCGTATCTCAACGTTTTAACATGTTTGATATCTTTATATATGTTTACGTATATTTAAATTCAAATTTATTTGAATGAAATTGAATGATAAGAAAATTATATACAGAGAGAGAAAGATAAAGAGAAAGAGTGGTTGGATCAAATCCAGATCAAATTTCACCTAATCGATTAAACATTGAATTTAAGAAATTCAAAAATTCCGAATATATACCAGCCAAGTAATCATCAACAATATTTCAATACACTTATTTATTCTATCTCATAAATTTCAATTAAAAAGGAATAAAAACAAAACCAAAACAAAATAAAAACAAAACCAAAACAAAATAAAAACAAAACAAACGCACGTGTATCTAAAAATGTATTAAGAAATTATATATATTTTATATAAATAATATATACATTTTTTATAAATTATGTTATATTTATAAAAATTACATATTTTTAAATTAATTATAATATATATATATATTTATTTTTTTAAAATATATTTTTAATAAATATATTTATATATTATAAATAAAATATATATAATTTATATATATTATATGCATTTACATATATTTTATTTTATATATTATAATTTATTTTATATTTTTTTTTGTAATTTTTCTTACATTTCTAATTCCAAAATCTGAGTGTCATTTAAAATGATATACATGATTTAAATGTATTTGTTAAGAAAATATGTACGTGTCTTTAATAATTTATATATATATATATAATATATATATATATAAAGAAAAGAAATATTAGATCTTTTCAGTATGAAAAGACATCGATATTATCTTGAGTCACACCAACAAAATTCGTGATACCAAGATTTATAGTACCTACCTGATATGAGCACCAACACTATCCACATGATCCCCACCAGGCTCTTCATCATGTCATTGTGTCACGTCCACCTCATTTCTTCTCGCCTTCTCACCCCCTGCTGACCCCTCTCAGTTCTCGAACTGCAATGGATAAAAGAAAAAAAAATATAAATGAGGGTTAAAAAAAATTTAATTTAATTTGTAATTTAATATTCGAGTATTTTCAAATATATTTTCACAACCACCCACACACATGTGAAGTAAGTTATATATGTTTAATTATTTATTTAAAAAAAATTAAGTATTATATTTCGGGTAAAAATTAATTTGATTAATTTCAAAATAAAGTTTTGGAAATATTTAAGTTCCAAGATAAGTTCTTTAAGAAATACGTTAAAATAATACGAAATCGAATATCGTACGTAATTTGTTTATTGAACGATTAATTGGAAAAAGATTGTTCAGAATATTGTCTAAAAAAAATATTTAATGTTATGTTCTACAGGATTATAAATTCTGACATATATTTAAAAGTATGATAATAATTATCTCATTAACTAGTACATCGGATTATATAAACTTTGCTCATTAGGATCTGACAAATTTATGTTAAGTTTTATATTAAATAGATTTTGAATTTATCCATCCTAAAAAATAATTAACAATAAAGATCAGAATTTATTGATGAAAGAAAAAAATTATTTATATTTAATTAATTATAATTATTACAATTTTATTTTATTATTATTCAATTATCAATCTTTTTTTTTCTTTCTTAATTTTATTGAACTTTGATATTGTTTAATGTTAAATGACAATCATCGTAAAAAGAAAATATTAAAAAGAGGCATCTGGGATTTTTGAATGAAACGACGAGAAATTGGGAGATCGGTAATCGACGATAAAAGATGCTGGGTACTCAAGCACCTGTCAATTGTCCTTCGAAAAATCGGTGTAAATGACATAGTTGGTTTCCTGCCTTTCAAACTGTTTCTTTCGATTCGAATATATCGAATTATTCGACGTCAAGTTTCGCGATGTTTTACAACAATTCGGTCTTACGTTTGATCGAATAAAAAACAAACAAAAAAAGAAAAACGAAACAACACAAATCTGAACGTCGATTATTCGAAATGTAAAAGTTTATTACATTTTTTTCTTTAATTTGAAAAACAAAAATATTAAAATTATGATTTGTATGACTATTTTTTTTTTAATTTTCTTACCTATTCCATTTAGTTCGAATAATTATGAAAAGTTATTTTATTATTATATTAATTAATATTACTAAAATTATTAAATAAGTGTCTTTTATTTTTGAATATTTTCTAAATATAACAAAAAAATACACACCTAAACACTAATACAATTAATAAATCCACTGGATATTCGATTAAATGACACATTTCATTTTCAATTAAAAAAAAACAAAATAACTAACTAACCAACGATTGCTACTTTTAATCATTGATATAACAACTACTTTTCTATCCAAATTTTATACAATTTAATCGATTTATCATATTAAATATTTTTATTGATCGATTATATCAATACCTATATACATATATATTTATGTAAAAGCCACTAAAAACGTGTGTTCAATGGCCACGAATGCATTGTGACGTTATAAACAGATAAACGAAAACAAATCCTGAAAAAAAAAGAAAATTCTTGCTGTGATCACTAACGAACGAACGAACGAATGAACAAAATCGTTACGCATCTGTAATTTTTCCGCAGTTGAACACAGAAATGAACAAAAAAAAAAATAAAAAAGAAAAAGAAACCAATACACCCATCCACCTACGCATGCATACACACACATACATACATATTCAAAACATTCACAAACGTATCTATGTAAAGAAGTACCATAAACATTTTGAGTGAAAATTGTTAGCTTTGTAATTTTGCTCCTAGCGTCCCATAGTCTGAAAACTCTTTGTAAGAGAAAACGCAATAAAAAGATTTATCCATTATCCATACTCCGATCCTTTTATCGTTATCCTTGATTCGTTGACATATAAGTTAGTAAAAGAAGACATTTGATTTGATCAAACGATCAAACTTCCTTTTCACGTCCCATAGTAGAATCTATGACAATACCTGAAGAGATAATCTTGTCAGATAATAATAATGACAAAAGATCGAGTAAAATGATTTAGATTAATATTATAATTAATAACATTTTACCCTTCCTACTGATACATATATATATATATATATATATATATATTAAATTTACATGGAGCGATGGAGAAAAAAAGAATTAAAAAATTGCACACTCCCTCTTTTTAGCGAAACTAATACGATAAACTTAATCGTTATTGATTACTTGCAAAATTCAATTTGATATTTAGTAACGATAGAAATACGTTTTTTTTTTATTCCTCTTTCTAGAAAAAAAAAATAAACGAAATATTTAAATAAACATTATAATCGACGAATTATATTATAAAACCAAAAGAAACATTCGAAGATAACAGAATTGTCAAAGTTGATAGAACGCATAACTGGTTTCTTTTTCCAAGTTAAAAAAAAAATATAATAATAATATCTACAATCTCTTAATAAATAATTTAATTAAAATAATGATGTATATATGATTATACTATATTTTATATTTTACTGTGTTCGTTTAAATGTAAGAGGGGAAAGAAATGGAAGACGATAGAAGCAAAGACAACGGTGACGTAAAAAAAGAAATAAAAAAAAGTATAATACTACTAGAAGAAAGTTGAAATGGTTGATAAGAAGCAAGCAAGCAACCAAGCAAGTTACCTAGCAAGCTAGGTAGCCAGTCAACCAACCAGTCAGCCAACCAGCCAGGTTAAATACGTTAAAGAACGACACTCGAGTTTCCTCTCTTTTTACTCTCCTCACCCTCACACTCAGCCCCTCTCTCTCTTTCTCTCTCTCTCTCTCACTATTTTTAAATCCAGCATCGAGTTATTCTCGCAAACGTGTGACGGCTCCGATCGATAAGCTCCAAACTGGTAGTCTCTTTCACTTCAACCAGCAACCCTCTAACTTCCATTCCCCCTTGCTTCCTCATCTACACTACTACAATTATAACCATCAGCACCATCACCATCACCACTACTACAATCTCTATCAGCAGTACCTTCACAGTCACTGGTGCTCAGGGCACCCGTGGCTTAAGAGGGAGTAATTATCTGCCACGTTCGTTCTACTAGTCCAGGTTGGTACGAGTGACGAGGGGCCTTAAAATGCCTCTTACAGGCCACACTTATACTACGTTTTCTTCACCCACAGTAATTCTCTCTTTCTCTCTCTTTCTTTTTTATCTATCTTTCTTCTCTTCAAGCTCTTAGCCAGTTTCCTATCCAACCAAACGGGGCTTTCTTTTCCCCATTCTCGCCTCCTTCAATGTCGATCAAGTTGGATACTACTCTTCTACGTTTCACGATAGAAAGCTCAATGAGATAAATTCGATCTTCTTTTTTACCTTTCTTATATACTACGGTTTTTTTTTCTTTTTTGTTGTATTTGTTTCTTTTTCTTACTAGTATTACGCTAGGGGAGTAATGAAGAGATCGAGATAACAGTTTTATATCGATCGATTGAATAATGATCGTTGACAGATCTTTGTTATAATTGTCAATATATTTATATTGACATTATATACATATATATATATAATATTTATATAATATTATTTTTAAATATTATATGAATATTATTTTTGAATATTATATGAATATTAATTTTAAATATTCATATAATATTATTTTTGAATATTATATGAATATTATATGAATATTGTTGCACGAGCTTAAGGATTAAGAAAAGGTAAAAAACGAAGCAGGTGAAAATATAATGAAAGACGTTGAAGAGTAAGAAATATTCTGTAAGGATTATTGCGTAACAGAGAAAATAACTAAACTGAAAGTTTTCAAAAACATTTCAAGTTCCCTAGACGGTTAATTAAAGTTCCCTTAGTATTTACCGTTACTTGATACAGAAGTCTTAAGAATCATACAGTTAGAGTTGGTTTGAGACAACGGAAAGGAAGAAAGAAAAGAAGAAAGGGTGTTGGGGGCAGGTGGTTGAAGGGGTTGAAGGTAGAAGCAGGGGGCGGGGGAGGGACCAAGAAGTCACGAGGAAACTGTTACCGCTTGGCAATAAGATACTAGGGAAGATATTTTAAAGCACGCGAATATATATACATACAACGATCCAAAGTTAGATCTTTTTTGTTACTTCGCTTTGTTCGTCATTCCACCACTTATTTCTTCAAGATTTAAACTTAAAAAGCCTTATTTTAAGAAAGATTTTTAAGATAATTAAATGATTTTTGAAGTCATTGAATATTTGAACATTTAATGAATATAAAAAACTCGACAATTTTGTAAGCATTCGAATTAAAAAGTAATAACGTAAGTAGTAAACTTTATGTTTGATCAAACAAGTACTCATCTTATAAATGAAACGTGGACACTCGATCGATGAGATTATTGCTTTTTCATAGTAAGAAAACGTTCAACCCTTCAAGTTACCCTATAACTCTTTAGCATATGTCAAGTTTCAAATTATACGAAATGAATTCTATCCATTACGCAATAACAATCGATGTTATTTCAAAATTCAAACTCAAATATAAGAAACGTACGAAGTAGAAATAGAGAAAAATTTGAAGATTAAAGAAAAAGAAAAAGAATTTCGTGAGAAAGAATTATTGCCGATGGAAATCGATGATTTATTACTACCGTTAAGGGTGGCTAAAAAGAATGGGGAAGACAGAGGATGTGGAGAAAGGGGAATGTTAAAGGGAAAAAGTACTCGGAAAAAAGCATCTTTAGACTTCTTCCAGATAAGAATACGAAGTTCTATCTTTCGTAAGAAAAATGTTCATTAAAAAACTAATCGTAATCGTTACTCATTATATTTAAACAATCGTACGATATTATGGCAAAAAATAATTATTAAATAGCACGATAATATTAATTTTATTTGAAATGATATTAGTGATTTAATTATTAAAATAATACAATTAACGTATGTCCATATTATTGTAATATTATTTATTATTATTTATATAATTTTTTGACATTACGAATATCAATTGACGCGTATTTTAAGGATAATTATTAAAATATATTTATAATTATTAATAT